GTTTTTGTTTTCATCCCAGATTGTTTCTTCTTTTGCTCTTGTAGTCAGGAAACTCTGGGCCTAGTTTTATCAGGATTTTCTTTTTTTATTAATTGGAGTTTTATCCTTGAATCTGTGTTATTCTGTGCCCTTCACTGAATGCTACATTGGATCTTTTCTGAGGTTAGAAAGCAGTTAAATTATAAATAAATTAGAAAATGATTAAAGAAATAACAAAGGGAAAGTGATTACATGAATAAATAATAAAAATCTATTATATTTAATTTAAACTTTTTCAGGTCATTGTTCTTAATCCACTTTACTATGAATTCTTGGTCTGCTAGAATTAACTGGAATCCTACTGATAAGATTATGATCTCTTGCTATCACTCTATTTATTAGTTCATAATTGTTTACCTTATTGTGAGCTTTTTAAAAACTAGAACCATTTTAATTATCCCTGAATCCAAGTCACCCTATGGCTTAAAATAAGCACTTTGATGTTTCTTGAATGAAAGAACCAGAAAAAATTCACTCACACAAAAAAAGCTCACATCAGAAATCTAGTTTAAAGACTACAGTTGAAGTACTCTCTGGGTTTGTTCTATTGTGGGTACGTGTTGTATCTACAATTGTGGATGACAGTAATTGAGCAGATGCCCTAAAGATACAAGAGTTCTGCCATCATTAGCCTGTAATCACCAAGGGAAAGAAGCAAAACACTGTAGGTTAGAAATGTTTCCAATAACATGGGTTAAAACAAGGGTTGGCATTATCTAAGTAATTAAAAAACCCAAACCCCTTGCAGTCCCAAGAAATCCAATTATTTGGGATTTAATTGTAATCTGTATGCCCACCTTCTGCTTTTTAAGTAGCAGATGACACAAGGCAATGTGAAAGCTGATTTTGTTTCCAAAACTAGATTTTATTTAACTTAGACATCCAAACCAATGGAATAAAGGCAAAGCTAAAATTTAGTGATAAATTTTTTCTTTTACCAATTTATTGTTTCATATCCTGAGTCTTGGTTTGCTTATCTGTCACTTGTAAAATAATACTTTTCTCCCTACCTCTCAGAGTTTTAAGGACAAAATTAGATTTAGTACATTAAAGTGTATTTATAAAGTAATGCAAAGTAGAAGAGAATTCCTGTTATCAAGATCACATGGCTTTCAAAAATCTCTCATGTGGTTGAAATATTTAAAAAACTAATGAAATTTTATGGGCCTCAATACTGTCGCTTCCTTTCTTTCTCTCCTTCACACCTGATGTATGATTTCCATTTAACTGGACTTCAACTAAAACAACCACTCTTTCAACACATTTTGCTATATTATTACATAATACCTTCAGTATATACTAGAGATGCTAGTCTAGTCAGTTTCATGTATTCTATTGATCAGCTTCAACAATGTGTAATATACAGTGTTGTTTCATGTTCTATAAACACACTCACTCCACCTGCCATCATCCTGAGTTACTTCGAAGTAAATCTCAGAGAGCCTATCATTTCATGTGTGAATGTTTAAAATACGACTTTTTAAAAACATAACCACAATTACCACATCATCCTTAAAATACTAGCAGTAGATTTACATTTCCTCAGTTATCTTCAAACAAAGTTTTTTGGGCATGTTTATTTGAACTGAGATGCAAAATAAGATCCATATTTTGCAGTCCCCCTCCGTCTCTTTTTACCCCCCAAATTGTTTCTTGCTTCTTGTTTTTTACAATTTTTGTTGTTGTGTAAATCAGTTGTTTTGTCCTATCCCATTTCCCACCATCAGGGTCTGCTAATTCTATTTCCATGGTGCTATTTAATATGCTTCTCTGCCCTCGTGTTTCCAGTAAACTAGTATTTAGATCTAGAAGCTAGTTCAGATACATTTTGCCCCCAAAACTAATTTACAATGTATAGATTTTCATCAGTACAGTTTATAACACCCAACTGTATCTTTCAATTGTATCTTTTATTACCTTCATCCCTGATTCACTAGCAGCTGTGAAAAGATATGCTATCCTATCTTGTTAACCAGAATACTTTTATAAGAGAAACTTCCCTTTATTAACTATTTGGTTGTCTTGAGGTACAGACCGAACAGAAGCTGAAATGTTCTATTATTTTCCTTATCTACCAGCTTTCTAAAATAACAGGTGGTTTCCAAGCATTCTCCAAAGTGACGAGTTTCTGCCTATCTTTTGTATCATTATGCCCTTGTGGATATACATATATCTTGGTGAATATTAATCTGCTGCAGCTGTTATCTTATTGCTACTCAAACTTTTTTTTTTTTTAAACCAGTAGGAGCTTATTCGGTTTGACACTTGAGTCCTTTTGAGAGAACTCTAGCAGTCTTTGAATTCTTCTTGGCTTTCTGGAAAGGAAAGATGCTCTACAGGTCCCCGCAGAAGCAGGCATTTTTTCAAGGACCCCTGTCTCCCTCTACTGGGAAATGTATTTAGAGATCATAGTCTGGGCACTGTTTGTGCCCTTTATTCTTCCTAGTCTATTTTTGGAAAAGATTCCTACAGGTGGGACTGCTAAGTCAAAGAACAAAAATGCTCATGCGATTTTATTAGATAATGCCAAATTCCCTGCATAAGACGCGTCTTACGTTGTATCCCACCCGTGACGTATGAGGGTGCCTCTTTCTCTGCAGCTTCCCAACAGCAGATGTTTTCAATCTTCTGGAATTTTGCCAATCTACTAAGTGACATATTGCAGTCCATTGTAGATTTACTTTACATTGTTCTTATTATGAGTGAGGTAGATTACCTTTTCTATTTTTTTTTAAAGTTTTATTTATTTGAGAGGACAGAGAAAGAGCACAAGCAGGGGAAGGGGCAGGAGGGGTGGGAGAAGCAGACTTCCCGCTGAGCAGGGAGCCCGACATAGGGCTCGATCCCAGGACTCTGAGATCATGACGAGAGTGGAAGGCAGAGGCTTAACTGAGTGAGCCACCCAGGCATCCCTACATTATCTTTTCATGTGGCTTTTTCTAAGAACAACTGCCCAAATTCCTAGCCTATTTATCTACAACGGTGGTTCACAAAATATGACCCCTAGATCAGTAGGAGTAGCATCACCTGGGAATTCATTAGAAATGCAAATTCTCGGACTCCATCCCAGGTCTACTGAATGGGAAAATGTGTACCACTAGAAGGTGACTTTGAGGGCCTATCATTACTTGATAAAAGCAAGGTAGAGAAAAGTATGTACAGTAGACTACCTTTTTCCTAAACAATAGGGACATTATATATATAATATTAATAATTATTATTAATTACTGAATAAGATACTCTGGGGATAAGGCCCATTAATCCATGTTCTAACAAGCCTGACAGATGATTCTAATACACGAAAATTGGAGAAACTTGCCTATAGGGTTGATTCCACGTCTGTATTTTAACTTCCCTTAAATTTGCCTAATTATTTTCTATTGAAACTAAGGCCAAATTGTTAGTACACTGGAACTGAAAGACTCAAACACCATGTGGCATTCATACATGCATTGGTTGGTGTATTCAACCCTTAACGAGTAGATGTTAAGGATCACTATAGATCACTGTGGCAGGCAGCGGGGATATCAGGCTAAAACAACACAGACATGGTCCCTGGCCCCCAGAAGTTTCCTTCCGCCAAGAGAGAACAAAATAAGTAATTTAAGTCTTACCAAAGAGGGTTCCAAGGTGCTACTGCATCCTAGAGCAAGGGGCTCAGCTAGTCTCGCGGTCAGGTAAATGCAAATTAAATGAACATTGAGGTAGTATTCTATTCCCATCAGATGGACAAAGGGATCATACTTATTCCTTACAGGGATATGGGTGGACATGTAAACCACTACAACAACTCTGAGAAAGAATCTAGTGTTACCTATCAATGCATCAAATACAACCATCCATTCCCAGGAATCAGTCCCGCAGAAAGGACGCCTCTCTTTCAAGGCCATTTGCTACAGCATTGTTCATAGGGGCAAAGCTAGTTACAGAGTGAACGTCCACAGTGGGGAATGGTTGAAACATCACACCAAGCAGCCACTGAAAAGAATGAGCCATGCCATGATTTGAAGGTGTTTCTATGATGTACTCTTTGAATAAGGAAAGCAACATGTAGAAAAGTGGGGATAATAAATCTTCAGTTTTAGAAACTCCCATAAGTCCATATGTGTATGCTGTACGTGATTATTTGAGGATAGAAGAAAAATATGGAAGACTAGATACCAATATGGATAAGCCTTCTACAGTGGATTAGGGCTCAACATACGTCTTCCCTTCTTCTTTGTTTACATTCCTATCGTGCAAGAAGGTGGATGGCTCAGAATTGCAAGCTCGGGCACCCCGCAGACAAACAGACATACTTGGGTGAGATGGGGTCCACATGTAGGCTGCCTCGACAAGCACCTTCACTTGTTACACCTTTGCACAAGCTGACGGCCCTGCTTCAGGACACTGGCTTCATGGGTGTGGAGGGGCAGGGCATCCCTTCTGCTGGCCTGGACCCAGCAGAAACAGCTTGGTTCTGGAGTCCTTCTCAGGTAGCTGCTGCTCCTTGGATCCCAGTTTTGGTGGCATGAGCCTGGAACCAGAGGTGTGGAACAGAACTCCCAGATCCCTGGCCAGCAGCTTGTGTGGGGTTCCATGACTCACCCCTGGAGCTGAAGTTGGAAGCTTGGTCCCATCGTCCTTCCAGTGATTTCATTAACGTGGGACTCCAGAACCAAATGCCAATCTGCCCTAAAATAGTTTGATTCTTTTTTTTTTTTTCCTTGCAATCAAACTACATGGTTCAATGGGTTACCAGCTGGGGAAGGAGTGACAGTTGTGAGAATTTAAACATATGAATATACGAAAGTACCTTGAAAATAGTGCTATATTGTTGTTATTAATTTAAATGCCATTTAAAACTCATCTGTCATCCCGTCTAAGTAACTGATGTACAGGGGGTGGGGGGGCCTTGAAAAGACTCTTTAATGTAAGAAAGGCACTCCACTGTGGAGTTTCTCCAGGACACACAGTCTTACCAGCGGGTGTAGATGTGGATTTTGGTGCCGGAAGCAAACTCCTGCGGGGTGTTGTTACACTGGGGGTTGCTGGAGGGGCCGCCCGGCTGGCCCCCTTGGGTGTGTCTTTGGAAGGCAGAGCTGCCTTCAGAACCGGCTGGTCTTCATTCCCAAAGGTTGACCCTGTGGGAGGCAGACAGTATGTTAATTATAACCTCATGAAAAATGGATGGACCCTTCTTGCCATTTGCAATTGCCAGCCAATCCCAACGCTGTCATCTGCTTTAGAGCTTGATCTGACTCTTAGTGAGTGGCCTTGAAAAACATTTCTCTGGGACCAGAAGTGGAGAAGAGCTCCCTTTAATCACCACAGCAAAGTCTGTCATTCAAATCCTCTGTGCGAGGGACACCACAAAAGACAAAAGCAGCCTCTGAAGATTTTATACGTGTGTGTGTACGTACACACACGCACACATACTCACACACAATTTGCTTATGTGGAAGTGTAACTGTACATATGTACAGTGTGCATTTATTTGATAACTCACAGAGGATGAGCAATCCTATTTTCGAAAACCAGTGTGTGTGACCCAGGAGAGGTGAGAGTAAGAAAAAAGACTCATGCATGGGCCGCTGCTCCAAGAAGCTTCTGGAGAATACCCTGACATGCAAGTTATTTGACCTTCAGAACAAAAGGCTTGGGGTAAAGGTAGAAGGGTATGGAGCATGGGGACAGAGAATCTCTCTGACACCCATGAAGTTTTTTGCCTGAAAAGCTGAGATGTCACCAAACTGTGAAGCCCTGAATTAGAGCCTCGCATATTGCAAAGACAGACGATGCCTATTGATACTTCAGTTTACTATTCAACATAGAAACAGACTCTATGTCTAAGGACAGTTTGTTTACAAAGGACTGCTCCGACACTCTGAACATACGGCACACTGGGATATGTGTCAGGTTTAAATGCACAAGGCCCCAAGTTTTCTTCCAGATCTTTCCAAACCTACTGTGGCTTATACATCTGTCATCTCTTAAAGACAATGACACCATCATCTACTCCCTGTTAAAGGATCAGTCTTTTAAGTATACCTCTGAGTACAGCTGCAAGGCCTAATCCACGAAATTAAGCTTGAATGTATTGGAACCACGGCTTGTTTGGAATTAAACTATCCAGTTAGAAACGTGACCATCTACCGTGGAAAATATGCAATGACAGTTGGAAGAAGTATACAGAATTTTAGCAAAAGATGAAATTTTTTGTTTTCATCATTTTAAAAGGATAGGCCTAACATTTTATTTAGATAGGGCCTGCATTAAATGATAACATTATTCAAATGGCTTTAATATTCAAAACATTCAGGAATTTTATTCAATCACTTAGAGTAAGAGATTGCTGATTTCCTCCCTCTGAAGACCCGAAAGTCTGTCTAAGATCGGTGGGATTTGTTTCTAAAGAAAAGCGTATTTAGGAAAGAAAAAATAAAGAATGCCCTATTTCCCAGCACAGAGCCTATGTCCTACACTTCTTTTCAGGTCTGTGCAAGCTTTTCCATAGTTCTAAACAGGGCTCGAGAATGCATTTGATCTATGCCAACAGAACAAACGCACTGAAAGTTCACAGAAAGGATGTGCACTGTATCCTGAATGTCGAATAAAGTAAGCACCTGTTTGATTATAACCTCATGAAAAACTTCTTCAGAAAAATGGAACCATGCACCTGAAAACAGTAAGTCTTAGCTTCTGAATCATTCAGTGGGTTCACTAGTCCAACCCCAGAATCTAGAGGCTCTCTGGAGGTTTGCAGGACATTACAGATGGAAGGAAGGTGCCCAGCCACTGGATGGATTTCACATGGAACTCTGCACTGCTTAGCTTACCACTGACATACTGCTGGAATAATCTACTCACTAAAATGTGTAGTGGAAGCCGAATTGAACATAAAATTTTCACACAGAATCTTCCACTTAATTATTAAAGTTTCTTAAGAGGGAAATGTTTTGTATCATTTGTAAAGTTCAAATGCCCTTTTATCAAATCCTCTTGCACCTGGCATCATCCTCAGAGGTGAAATTTATTATTCAGAGAACATGTCAATTTAGAGATTCGGCAGCTTGGGATTGGGAAGGCATTCATCTATTTGAAGTACGAAGTGTCAAGGAAGCTAAGTGGGTGAGGTACGCTCCTCTGAGAGTGGTCTTGAATTAACAAAAAAGAAAATAAAGTAAAATAAAATAAAATAAAACTCTATTCTTGTCTATCATTGTGGGACCCGGCTGGCAGTTCACAGTATTACTCTTTGAAAACCAGCTTAAGTCAGCCAGTAATTAAAGACTCATTATTTAATAAATGGAGAGTACTCAGAATGGCTGCTGAATTCTAGAACTGTTCTGGCTACTTCACAATAATGCAGGCAGCATTAAACCATTGCTTGATAAGAGGAAGAAAATAACTGGAAATAAACAACTATTTGTGTGAGCCAGAAAAAGAGTGGTGGTGTTTCATGAGTCTAATCACAGTTTGGCCGAATCTGGCCTGAACGATCCAGGTTATCCCCTGGATGAAGGGTGGAGTCTGAGGAGAAGGACAGCCAGGGTTGTTTCTCCACCTCCCACCTCTCTGCCCCTGCGTTTCTTCATCCGCAAGTGGGGACACTGGGCATGGATCTCACAGAGCCATTACGGGAAGTAAAAGAGCTAATACAAGTGGATTTTTAAGAGTCAAGGCAAGAGTTAGTACAAGGAAAGAGTGGTGTCTAGTGCACAGTGAGCTCTTCTGTGTTAGTTACGAGCACACATGGGCTAGTTTTCAGTTCAGCGGTTGGTCATTACAGCAAATCAGTTTTTTGTGGGGAACTTGGAACGAATCCAGGGACTAATATCAGGTGGTGCTGCTCCAAGTGAGAAGGAAGGAAACATTGAAATAAATCTGACAGCAACTGCAGGATGTAGGGAGATACAGTATGATTGTCCTTAAAAACCTATGACGAGCTACTTGAGACACAGGAAAAGGGGAGAATCAGGACATAAGGGACCACCGGGCTTCAGAGTATTGGACGCTGCAGGTTCCACTATGAGCGATACTGTTGGGACCCAGGGCATGAGCGTGGTATCAAAATGGCTGTCCGAACTGCCTGTCACAATTCGCACCCACCACAGGTAGTGACCGTCTGACTTTAATGAATGAATGAAATTGGTTTTAATTTATAGGTCTCTGACAGGCAGTGAGGTGGAGCACTTTTCTCAAATTCAAGTTTTTTCTTCCATAAGGTACCCACTCATAACCTCTGCCCTTTTTCTACTAAAGGATTTTATTTTCATAATTGACATATAGGAGGTTTTTTTTTTTAATATTCTGGATATTGATCCTTTCTAGGTATATATTTCATATATCCTCTCAGTCGTTGACTAGCCTCCGCAGTGTTGGTGCCTTTATTCAGAAGTCTTTCATTTTATCTATTTATTTATTTATTTATGATTTTATTTACTTATTTGACACAGAGGGACAGTGAGAGAGGGAATACAAGCAGGGGGAGTGGGAGAGGGAGAAGCAGGCTTCCCGCTGAGCAGGGAGCCCTACTCGGGCTCCGATCCCAGGACCATGAGATCATGACCTGAGCCAAAGGCAGATGCTTAACTGACTGAGCCACTCAGGCACCCCAGAGGTCTTTCATTTTAATGTAGTTTATTTTTCTCAGTCTTTCCCCCACTTGATTTGTACCTTATGTGTCTTAGTTTTTCATTGTCTACCTGAGCTAATAAAGATGTTCTCCTATGTATTCTTCTAAACGGTTTAAAACTTTGTTTTGCACATTAGATCACTAATTCACCTGGAACAGAGCATGGAGTAGGGCCTGGATGTGTGGTTGCTATTTTCTATATAGACAGCCAATTATCTCAGCCCTGTACATTCGACAGTCCATCTCTTCTGCAGTATCTGTACTTCCTTCTGCTGTGTGTCAAGATTCATACAGGCCTGATTTTTAGAGTAAGCTAAGAGCCACCAAATTGAGGTAATCTAATAGGGTGCCTGGGTGGCTCAGTCGGTTAAGCATCTGCCTTTGGCTCTGGTCATGATCCCAGGATCCCATCCTGGAATGGAGCCTCAGGATCGAGCTGAGCGGGAGCCTGCTTCTGTTTCTCCTTCTACCCCTCCCCTCCCCCCTTGCTCATTCTCTCAAATAAATAAATAAAATCTTTAAAAATTTTTTTAATACTATAACATAACAAAAGTTTCTCTCTCAATCATGAATCGTCTCACACAGGCAATCTGGATGACATGCCATCCTGGGGAGCTGTAATCCAGGCAGGAGCTCAGGGAGTCTGGCTCCTTCCATCTTGTGTTTTTGCCCTACTCTGGGTTTCTCAAGAGACATTAATATGCAGCTGGTATATGGGGAGGAAATGAATTATTCATGGAAGGATTTTTGGGGGTCAGGCCTGAAAGCAGAGTGTATCACTTCTGCCATGAGTCTAATGGCTGGGAAATGTAGTTTAGTTTATGCACAGGAGAAAAAGGGAATCATTTGGTAAACACCTAACCCATTCTGCCACATGAGGCTCCATTTCTGAACTCTATATTCTGTCTCATTGATCTCTTTCTCTATCACTATACCAATACCATAGCATATATATTTGCTGTCATGCAAGACTAGTACTGGCATATTGAACCAACATAAGACAAGTACCTCCAACTTGGTTCTTTTATTTTACAATTGTCTTGACATATACATATACATTTCTCTTTCTCTTACATGTAAATTCTAGTATTTATTTTCTCTTACATATAAATTCTAGTATCTACTTTCTCTTACATACAAATTATATACATATACAATTCTCTTCTCTTACATATAAATTCTAGTATCTATTTGTCAAGCTCTAGGAAAAGTGGCCAGAATTTCCAATTAGATACGATTACATCTTCTTTCTGAACTGCAACATGTTTGAAGGAAGAGCAAGCACAGACCCCATGAAGAACAGCAAACCTGTGCTGAGCACCACTTATACTCTAGGAGCCATGTTAGATGAAAGAAATACAAAGAACATGGAGTTCCATGAAAAAGCAAACACCAAATACGTTGTTCTATAAAGACGTAGCACTAAATGACACGATAAAATAATAATAACAAATAAGATAAAAAGAGGCAGCACTGATCCTTAAGGAATCAAAATCTGGGATACTT